GAGTGGCCAGTGCGCTCACTGTAGACCAGGAAGCAGCGCTCCAGGCTGCCGAAGGGCCGCACCAGCTCCTCAAACTGCGCCTGTGTGAGGCTAGGGGGCAGGTTGGCCACACACAACAGGGCATCCGTGGGCTGCAGCTGCACCGACAGCTCGCGCTCCCGCAGGCGGCTCTGGTGAAAAGCACTAATGGCGGCTTCGGCTTGCTCCCCATTCAGCAGGGTCACAAAGGCTGCGGGAGCAGGGGAGCACAGGTCAGCCAGTGCCCCTGAGGGCCTGCCCCCAACTCCATGCTGTCTAAAACAGATGTGACTTCAGAATGAAGCCACCAGACATCTCAGGCCCCCCCGCTAATCCCAACAGTTGCCAACCTTGAGCAGTTTATACAGAAAAGTGCAAGCCAGCCAACTGGGGCTACAGGGTTCCATGAGGCCCACTCCCTATTGTCACTCCTCCACTGCTCACAACCTACAGCAGTGTTCATCAGCTGCACCTGATCTGTCCTAAGAAATTAGTGAGAAACTTGGGTGACAATGAGAGGAGTAGTTAAGTACATGGTCAATGGAGCCTGGGTTTAAGCCCCAAATCCAAAATGGGCTCTGAGCTTTTTCATATGTCAAATGGGAATAACTTAATCCTCACAACCACAGGTCTGGGGCAGAGGAAACAGGCCCCCTGCCCAGTAGAGAACGCTTGGCTTTAAAACCAGGCAGTCAGCCAGGCACGGTGCTACAGGCCTGTTGCCAGCTACTCAGGAGGCTGAGGCAGGGGGATCACTTGAACCCAGCGGCTCAGGGCCAGCATGGGCAACATAGTGAGATCTTGTTTCTAAAAAAAAAGAAACAAAAAACAAAATAAAATTAACCCAGGCAGTCAAGCTCTGGAGGTCCATTCTGCATCCCTCATTTGCCACTGTTCAAGGCCATCAAATGTCCCTCAGCCACCTGCCATTCCAAATTATCAATCCACTTAGCAGTCACAAAAAGAAGCTTTGTTCCAAAAGGTACTCAAATGGTGCCATACCCCCCTCAGTGTCTTTGTTTTCTCTTTATTTTCTTTGTTTTTTTTTTTTTTTTGTACCAGGGTTTGAACCCAGGGACATTTTATCACTGAGCTGCATTCCCAGCCCTTTTTATTTTGAGATAGGGTCTCACTAATTTGCTTAGGGCCTTGCTAAGTGGCTGAGGCTGGCCTCAAACTTGCAATTCTCCTGTCTCAGCCTCCTAAGTCTCTGGGATTACAGGCATGTGCCTCAACCCTCAGCTCCAGTGTCTTCTATTTGCAAAGTCTGTGTGGCCCAGCCTTATGGTCTGGCTGGCCTTTTGCATCTCTTGCTATTGCTTCCTGGACCTCACCAGGCACACTGCACCTGGGACCTCTGCAACTGCTATTCCCTGAGTATGGAAGAGAGGACCCCATCCCTTAACTGTTCAACCCCAATCCACCTTGGCCTAAAGCCAAACATCACTTCCCTGGTGAAGCCACCCTGACTACTCCTATGATCCTGGTTCTGAGCTCACACAGCATCCTCCCTATAGCTTTTGGTCCCAAGACCATTTCACAAAACTTCATGATTGGAGCTGTTGAATGACATCCTTCTTCCCAGACTAGACCATCTCTGTTTGGTTCACAGCCGTGTCTCTGGGACCCAGCATAGAGAAGGTGCTGAATAAGTATTTGCTGAAAAACTGCATGAATGAAAAGTGTCATTCAACATCTGATTTCCCATGCTTGGCACATACAGTTGGCTCCCTGTAGCACAGGTACCACATCTGTAAATTCAACCAACCATGAATTGAAAATATAGGGGGGACTGTGTCTGTACTAAACATGAACATATTTTTTGTTGTTCCCTAAACAATAAGTATAACAACTATCTACATAGCATCTACATTATATTAGGTATTATAACTCATCTAGAGATGATTTAAGATATACAGGATATGTGTGAGTATATGCAAATATTACACCATTTTATATAATAGACTTGAGCATACTCAGCTTTTGCTATATCCAAGGCAGGTCCTGGAAACAATCTTCTGTGGGTACTGAGGGGCAAATTTACTAGGTACTCAGAAACTATTTGACTTGTTGTCCCCATGGCTATTTACTAAGCATCTTGTATATGCCAGACACAAATGCTAATGCAAATCACTTGTTACTTGCTTATAGCCAGGGTGAGGACAGACTAGGATTCAAACTTGTGGTCTGTTTGCCTCCAGGGCCCAAGAGTTTAACTACTACCCTAGTCTGTCAGGTAATCCCCAAAAGACACCCTCCTACCTAAGTTACAGCTTGTCAGTGAAGCCTCTGTGAGGTCTAACACCCGGCACAATCCTGGCAGGACATGTTTACCAAGGACCTTTTACACAGGAGGCCAAAGCTGCCCACCTGGGTGCAGCCTGGATAGAAAGGGGACAGCTAAGATCAGTAGCAAAAGGAACAGCCCAGAACCTTATGGGTGCTTGAGGAAGTGGAGAGGTTTGTGCACATCTTTGCAAGGCAGTGCCAGAAAGGTCTCAGACAGGTTTTGGGGAAGGAAAAAAAAAAAAAAAAAGATCAAGGTTTGATCAGATTTGCAAGGAGACTAGAAGGAAGTAGGTGGCAGGCTAAAATCATGGAAGCAGAGAGGCTACAGAGGGGCTGCCATTTAAGTAGAGATGGAGGGGGACATAGAACAGGTAGAAGCCAAGAGAATGGAAAGCTCAAAGGAGAACAGACCTGGGTGACTGGCTGGCTGGGGCAAGTAATGCGGGAAGAGAGTGAGCCCAAGTCCCAGTGTCTGGCCAGACCGCACAGAGAAGAAGAGCAAGGCTGTCCTAAAATGGACACCTTGGGACAAGGGACAGACTGGTGCTCATGCTGCACTGGCCTTGGAAAAGGTATTGGAACCAAAGTTAGGAAAAGAGATGCACAGCCAAAACCCTCCCATCTTCAGACTCTGTTTTCTCCTGCCCTGGTCCGCCCCATTTCCCCACAAACCTGTCCCTTTGTATTTGTCCACAAAACAGTACTTGAGCTCATAGTCGCTGAGTAGGTTGTGTACTTCCTGTGGAAACAGAAATCAGAGGACAGAGAGTCACTAGGGAACAACCAGGGGCCACCTTCAGGTAGACCAACTATACAGGTGGGTGAATTACCACCTCATTTTACAAATGAGGAAACTGAGGTTTAACAACATTATTTGCCCAAGCCCATTCTGTCCATCCCCAGCAGAGCTGATATTAAGAGCCTGGCTGCAGATTCCATGTGAATAACGCAACACAGAGTGTGTGCCTTCAGGAAGTTGTTGAACCTGTCTGAAGCTCCATCTGCAAGTTGACTGTTTTTAACAACTCTACAGTTAAGTATTAACAAATCCATCTTGTATGTGAGGAAACTGAGGCTCAAAGAGGTGAAGAAACATGTGCAGTTGGTCAGGGCAGCAGTGGGAACACTAACCAGGGGTACCTGACCAGGGAGCTCATGTACCTAATAAGCTTACATTGTGTGGCTTCACATGCCTCCCATTTCCCTCTTGTTGACAGGGCCACCTTCTCACAAGCAGCTTCAAGGGCGAGGCTGGGGGCCTGCTTGTGCCAGATACACTGTACACTTTACAAGAGGGACAGTGTGTTCCCAACTGAAACAAGGCAGGCACAAGGAAGAGCACCAGCTCTAGAAACAAACCAGACAAGGCACAGTGGCATCTGCCCGGGTCTGTCCAAATCAAGCCTTCCTAACATTCCTGGGACCCCACTTGCCATGTACCCATGGCAAGAAGGGCCAGTGACAGGTATGCTGGTGGGCCAGGGAACAGGGATTCTCAGCAGCAAAGAGAATAAAGCAATCCAATCCCCTCCATTCCCACAGGGCACTGCAGTACCGATGGCATTTCCCTGGGTCCAAAGAGCACGGGGAAGCACTGCCCTAGAAAAGGGCACTCCTAGCAGGAAGATTAGCCAAGAGGAGCACCACAGAACACAGGGCCGCCTTTCCTGCACAAAGATGATGGCAGGAGACCTCATTTTCCCAAAACAATCCTGAGCCTTTGGGGGAAGGCAGCTACAACTTCCGGATCTACCTCTTAAAGAATCATGAATAAATGCATGATATAGTAGGAAATACTCTAACCCTGAAACTTCTAGATATGAGATCCCGCCACTGGATGGAAAAGGGGTGGGGGGGGGAAGCACAATCTGAGCAGATGGCACCTCCCAATCCGGTAGTCCATTCACAATCCCCCATCAAGGCTAAAACTGTCTGCCCCCTAACATTCCCCGCCCCTTTCAATCACTCCGTCTAGCCCAAGCCTGTGGTCGCCCCTAGCAACGTCCTCGCTCAATTCAAAGTTGGTTTCTCCCTCCATCATAGTCCCCCCACATCTCGTTCTTGGTCTCTTCCGACCCTGCGAGGATTCTGCGCCCCCGCCGACGCCCCCTGGGCGACACCATCATTGGTGTCGCCTGGTCCCCCCCGCGCACGCGCACGGTGGTATTTCCCGCCACGCTCCCACACAGGCCCCCCCCATACCTGGTTGGTCACGTCCCCCGGGAGGCCCCGGATCAGTATCTTGCGACGGTTACGGAACTGGCGCTCGGTGTGTTCCAGGCGTTTCCGGATCTCTTCTGGATCTAGCGACGGTAACTCTTCTTCGGGAGACCGGTGCTCCGCGGCATCGCTGGCTTCAACCTCGGTCCCAGCCTCCGGGCTCAGCGGGGGCCGGTGAGTAACGGACACGTCGGCCGCCATCTTGGGAAACCCGGCGCCTTCTGGGACCAGCGAGCCAGGGCGGAGCGGCATAGAGCGGCAACGAGGGCGCGCCCGCCGATTGGCCGAGAAAAGCCCCGCCTGTCTCCCGACCCCTTCGGCCCATTGGCCAATTCCCACCCCCCCAGCCTCTTAGAGTTCCAGCGGTGTCTGGGTCGCCGCAGACTCCGCCCCCTTCCTTCTCCGCGGGGCCATTCAGTAGATTCGCGGAGCTGTCCGAGAGTCCCGCGGCGCGGGTGGAATCAAGCCGCGGATTACGGAATTTATAGCCTTTATTGATAAGGAAGTTGAGAATACAGCCAAAGCCACTGCCGTCTTTGGCACAGTATCCTGGCATTCCGCACCTCAGGACTGCTCTAATTCCACTGCCTCTTTCGGCTGCACAGGCCTGAGGGGCAAGGAGGTGTGTTGCTGGTTCACGCGGTAGATGCCGCTCCGTGTCTGCTTCCCGAAGATGCATATTAAGGCCACTATGGCAGTCACCACGCCTAGAATCACTAACACCCCCATGAGGATGCTGACCACGAAGGAGTTCCGATCTGCGCAGAAAAGCTGGGAGTAAATATGTGTTCTCCTACCCCTCCTGAGCTTCCCCCTTCATCCCCACAGCCCCTTTTTTGCTTACCCTGAACGTGCATCACCACAAGCAAGGTGTACGTGCCCCTTGGACTGACTGCCTGACAGTGATAAGTGCCATTGTGGTGTAACTTGACAAGGAATGGGGTCCCAATGGGCACCTCACGTCTGGAGCCTTCATGCAGACACTGTAGCTGGGGGACTGGGTTGCCTCGGGCCTCGCACTGCAAAATATGACTAGTCCTATCTTTCCACGCCAGTCGCTGAGGACATTTGGCCGGGTCAATCTTGGGACCATCTGTGAAACCATCATGTGATCAGACCCCAAAATTCCCCAGAGGCACAATGGGGCAAGGGAAATTCAAGTCTTCCTAAGACAGAGGTGAGGAATTGAAAGATCTGATAACTCACAAAGGACACGCAGCTGGACAGTCACGTTCCTGTGTAAGACCTCTCCGTCCACTTCCAGGATGGCATTGCAAAAGAAGTAGCGCCCATCGTCGCCCTCCGTGGCAGTTACCTGAAGCTGGGCGGGTTCCCCTGGAGCCCGGGCCAGATCCCCGTCCAGCATGACCTGGACTCGGGGCCCAGCCATGCAACTCACATTCACTTTGGACCCCTCGGTGACGTTGGTCTCGCTCAGGTTCAGAATGGGCCCTAGGAAGGCTAAAGCAGGGCATTGCCCAGGGGCTTACTGGCCACCACCCTTCTACCGCTCTAGCCACGCCCTCCACCAGCCCTGTTCTCCAGGCTCTGCCGGATTTGGGGTGGAGGTCCTGCCCACACTACAACCCTAATTTGGCAGCTCTGGTCTCTCCCCTGCTTAGTCTCCGCCCTCGCCCCCAAGAGCCACGCCCTGGTGCAGCGGGAGGTCCTTCTTTGTACCGCCTCTGGAACTGCTTTCCTTCCCTTCCCTTCTTACTGAAGACAGTTAAGTTCGCCCGGGCCTCCCGACTTTCGCCCCCCAGGGTCACATTGCAGACAATTTCCTGGGCACCCTCCTGGTCTGCGCGTGCTGTGACTGTAGCTGTGGCCCTGAGTGTGTCTCCGTGGATCGTGACTGCAGGATTCAGCATCTGGTCCCCCAGCGCCAGTTGTACTTGGGCCTCAGAGACTGGGAACAGCCCATCCAGAGTGCAGTCCACTGGCCACGAGGTGCCCACCTCCAATGACAGGGGAGCCACAAGGCGTGGGGGAGCCATGGGAAGGACTAGGAAGAAGGATAGTTGTGAACAAAAGGAGGCCTCACACAGTATCCCTCATCCCTGCAACTAGGGTCCTCTTCATGGGATACATTTTCACTTGGGTCACTCCCTTCCCAGAACAACCAGCATGGCCATAGACCTTCCTCCTGGGGCCTTCTCCCTTAGGCTCCTGCTTTTTTTCTGGGGCAACCTTGTCCAGTGGCCAAGGGTATGCCTTCCCAGAAATTCTTGAGGTCCACAACACCCCCTACTCTGACTCAGTTCATCACCCAACTTCTGCAGCCCCCTCCCTCACCAAAAGTTCGGAGCTGCCTGGGGGCTGAGGTGTTCTGGAACAGTCCCAGCCCTCTGGGCCGCAGGTCCAGTTCGGCTCTGCACGTGAACTTGGCACCATAGTCACCTCTGCCTGCCAGCACTGTGGCAGTGCCCTCTGCTGGCTCCCCCACCGCAGGTTGCCGGCTCAGTTCCTCCTCCCCACGGAGCAGCACCAGGGTGAGCTGGGCGCGGGGTGCTCCGCCCCACACATGGCATTGCAGGGTGAGGTTCTCACCCACTGGCTGCCAGGGGGGAAGGAGGTCCAGCTCCACAAGCTCTGGGAACCCTGGCAGAAGGGAGGAGAAAGGTATTTGTCAGCCAACCAACCTTGCAACACCCTACTGCTTGAGACAGGATGTCCCTGCCCAGAACTGTAACCCTGAACAACTTTTTTTTTTTTTAGTCACTAAAAAAAATTTTTTTTCTGGTACTATGGATGGAACCCTGCCTGGGTCTCTGGCATGCTAGGCAAGCACTGTGCCACTGAGCTATATCACCACCCCCCTGTTGATCTTTGTCAGTTTATTCTAGCAAACCTTCAGAGGGCAGAAGAGAAATTTCCTTTCACCCCTACTGCAGGCACTAAAAGTCAAGATTTTCTGTTCCCAAGGACATCACAGCTAAGAAGGAAAAAAAAAAATGAGGAAGGAAGAAAATGGACACTTTTTTTAACCACTTATGATATTCATATTAATCATTAAAGTTCCTGTTTAATCTAGATTTTTCCTTATACTTTCCACCTTCAACTTCAGCCACCTTCATGCTCACATCAACCTAGTGAAATCTTGATCATTCTTCTTTTTTATTTTTCCCCAGCCATAAAAAGGAGAGGTGGGGTGATATGCACAGGGACATACAGCCAGAAAGTGACAGAGCCAGGGTAGAATATGGGTCTTCCAAACCACAGATGTGCATCCTGGAAGTCATACTTAGGGACTAACTAGGCCTTTCCTCCTAGCTTCTGGCCTTGACTCCTGCCTTGGCCACTTCCAGAGACTATTTCTGTTTTCTCCAATCAGTCCCAGATGCTCCCATCTGTCACAATTCACCTGCCATGCCGCAGCCTCTCAGGATGCTCTGGCACGCAGTCACTGGGAACACAATACTCCAGGGCTGGTCCTCTCCCAGGGGTGGCTGCAGTGCCTCTCAGAGGCACACCTATATAATCCTGAGCCTGCCAGGTGTGGTGACAAATGCCAGTAATCCCAGTAGCTGCGGAGGCTGAGGCAAGAGGATCATGCATTCACCCTGTCTCAGAATAAAATATAAAAAAGGGCTGGGATGTGCCCCTGAGTTCAATCTCTGGTCCAAAAGAGAAAGAATTCTGAGCCTCCTTTGTGGAGCAGGTCACTCTTGGCCTTGACAACACAAACCTATTACACAGAGTTCCACTGACTGGCTGCTATGGAAGATATTTAACATCTTAATTTGTACAATTTCAATATGTCTCCACCTTCACCTTGGCTACCACTGGGCAGGGATAGTGGCCTGCAGGTCAAGACTGTGATGCTAGTAATTGGGATCTTGGGGTTGGCAGAGGAAATCCTGACCTAGTTCCTGTGGTATAAATGCTCCCACTCTGGCTGACTTGATGCCACTTCACGTGATGCAGAATTAAGAAGAGATGGCCATAGCTTGTCAAGACAAAGAGCACTGGACAAAGGCATCCCAGTGAGTATCCTTCAGAAGCTTCAGGGTACAGGCCCAGGTTATGGTCATGGTAAACTCAAGACATAGATAGGAACATACAAAGAAACATATATAGGCAAATAAACACAAGAGGTCTACATTCATGTTCATCAGTACAGATACAAGGCTGTGGTGTAGCTCAGTGGTACAGCATAATCTTAGCATGTGAGAGGACCTGGGTTCCATTCCTAGCATCTTAAAAAAAGAAAAAGGCAGAAACACTGACACATCAACATACACTCATACACATCCTGAAATGGACATGCACAAATATTTCGATATACAGAAGGATACACACATAGGCAGAGATACTGGTGCACAGGCATAGACGGACATTCAGAGACAGCTAGGCATGGTGATGCACACCTGTAATCCCAGTGACTTGGGAGACTGAGGCAGGAGGATCATAAGTTCAGCCTCAGCAATTTAGAGAGGCTCTAAGCAACTGGGTAAGACTCTGTCTCAACATAAAAAATACAAAGGGCTGGGGATGTGGCTCAGTAGTTCAGTGCCCCTGGATTCAATTTCCAGTACCCTCCTCCCAAAAAATGAACATTCATAGGCAAATAAACACAGATGCTAACATACACACATACATGTACAATCACATAGTTTCACAAACATCTATATAGACACTAGTGCACACACAGGCATATATATAATCACACATACAGTACACTTATCTATGCAGATTTTACAAATCAGTAGTCACCACGAGGGGTGGAATCTGCTATTTTTGTAATTTATTCTAATCTTTGCTTTTTGTTGTTTGGTTGTTTGGTTTTTTTGGTTTTTGCAATCCTGGGGATTGAACCCAGGCCCTCACACATGCTAGGTAAGCATTCTGCATTTTACCACTGAGCACTTTATATTTTATTGCCCAGGCTGACCTCAAACTTGCAATCTTTCTGCTTAAGCCTCTTGAGTAGCTAGCTGGGGCTACAGAGGGGTACCACCACACCTGAATATTTTATTCCATTATAATTATTATTACTTATTTGGGTACTGGTTGGTAGTGGGAATTTAACCCAAGGCTGCTCTACCCCTGAGCTACACCTCCCAGACCTTTTTATTTTTTGAGACAGGTTCTCACTAAGTTGCCCAGGCTGGCCTCAAACTTTCATTCTTCCTGTCTCAGGAGGATCCCTCCCTGGGATTACAGACCTGTGCTACAGCTGCTGAGAAACTCTGAATGATCCCTAAGAAACCAGTAAGGGGAGGGCGGGGCAGGAATTTGGGAGCTGGGGTGTAGCTGGGTGAACGCTTGCCAGGCATATCTGAGGCCCTGGGTTCCATACCCATCAGGGGACAGGGTACTTTCTGGAATCCACAGTTGGGATGCATCTCTCTGTCTGCCTGTGTCTGTCTCTTTTGCACATAGCATCCAGGTCTGAGCCCTCGTGCATCCTGCAAACTCAGGATCCCCATTACTCAGAGCCATTGGCCATCTGCCCCCGGCACTGAACAAGGCCAATCCCACCCCCAGGCACATCTACTCACGGTACACAGTGATGCTAGAGTTGCTTGTCATCTGGGAGCCATTACAGAACGCGGAGCAGATGATCTTGCTGTCACCAGTCACATTGCTGAGGCGGAAGGCTGCCCAGCCCTGGTCTTCATCTATGACCTCCTTCGGTAGGGATGTTTCCAGGGTAATGAGCTCAGGACGAGGACAGCTGGTGCTGCAGTTAACTAAGAGGGACCTGCCGGCAGGAAGCACTGGGTCTTGGGGCTCCATCTGCAGGGAGAACTCCTGGCTCTGGCTCTGGGCACCTGCAAGAACAGGAGGAAGTTCTGTGGTTGTTTAGGTGCCCACAACCCACCCAGCAGCAGGCCCCTTTCATGCCTAGATAACGGTCCCTGATCTGGTGATGTTCCCAGGCCAGTGAGGAAGTAAGGATCAATGAGGGATGTGGGGGGCAGGGGAGGAGGTCAGAGGAGACTGATTGGGCTACTGGGGGAGGTCGGTCAAGGAAGGCTTCCTGGACAGCCAGTTCTGAAGCCTAAGTAGGAATTTGCCAAGTGAAAGAGAAGAGTGATTCTGGCAGAGGGAGCCACACAGGCAAAGGTTGGGGTTTAGATAAACCTGGGAGTAAATAAGAGGCCTCTAGCACTGAACGGGGGAGAGAGACGAATCTGGAACAGAGCATACGTCACAAGCAAGGACCCAACCACCCCAAAAATGAGTCAAGGAGTTAGAACCATCTCCTGGGGATGCTAGGGAGCCCGTCGTCAGATCTGCGTTTGACTGAAGGGTTTCCAGGGGCAAGGGCTCAGGATGTGCAGTGCTTCGCTTTCTCTGTTCCCTTAACCGCTGCCCGTCCCTTCACCCAGTCCACCCAGCTTGACCAGCCTCACCTAGGGGCAGCAGACAACAGGCCAATAGCTGGAAGATGAACAGAGTCCGGCAGGCTCCCAGCAGCAGGCTGGAAAGTGTCATGGTGGCCAGGCTGAGAGAGGAAGGTGCCTTTAGGAGGTGTCCCACAGGGGACGAGGGAGGAGACGGAAGCCAGCAGTTAAGATTGCAGAAGTGCAGGGGTTGCATCCTTCCCCAGGCCTGGGGTGAGTAGGGCGAGTCCCTGGCCCCAGGGACCTAGGATGGGGGTCCCAGATGGGGGCCAGCAGCTGGGGAGTCTACAACAGGGACAGGGCAGGACCCAGTTGCTCTGCTGGCACGCAAATGAACCCACAGGAAATGCTGACAGGATAACGGCTGCTTTTGCTGTCAGTCCTGGAAGCCTTGAGGGTGGGGAGTGAAGGGGGTGTCATGACACACCTTCCGGCTGAACTTAGGTGCAGGGACAGGGTTCTGTCCCCAGAGAGGAAGTTAATAGGAGCCTCTAGTACTGTCCTTGAGGCGATAAGGCAGCATTTCGTTTTCTTTTTCCTTTTTTTTTTTTTTTTTTTGAGACTAGGTCTCACTATTGCCCAGGCTGCTTCCAACTCCAGGGCTCAAGCAATCCTCCTGCCTCAGCCTCCTGAGTAGCTAGGAGGCTGTATGTGCCGTCCGGCTGCCAATAAGGTAGGATTTCAAGGGGCCACAATGCAGGGATTGCTAGGCATAGTTTCAAGGGTCTGTGGGAGATCGCAACCCTCTGAGGGAGCCACACAGGCAAAGGTTGGGGTTTAGATAAACCTGGGAGTAAATAAGAGGCCTCTAGCACTGAACGGGGGAGAGAGACGAATCTGGAACAGAGCATACGTCACAAGCAAGGACGTAGGGAACAAATAAGAGATTTGGAGGCCACAGTGAGGTGCCTTAGGAAATGTGAGCCACAAAAATGAACAAAGCCAACACTTGCTGAACTTGTGTGCCAGGCCCTGGCTGACCACTGAGGACCTGTGCATTTGAAGATTTGGGGGAACCCATTTCCTGCAGGTAGTCCTGAGGTGGGGTGTTTTGACCACAGCTGGGTCCTGAGCCACTGTCTCCCCAGGATGCTGCTCGTGGCTGGCTTTTATCACCATTCTGTTCTCCCCTTTCTGCCCTCTCCAGGCAGCTGGTCTCTTCTCCAAAAGAAGGATCTAGGGGTCTAGGATCTAGGCATTTCCTCTCCCACCCACCCCATCTCTGGCCTCTGGTCAGCCTCCTGGGCCTCTGATCTGAGCTCCAAGAGAGGGACCCTGTTGCAGGCCTTGATGCTGCCCCTGCCTTCACCCACTCTCTATCCCTGGGCTCACCCGATCACCCCCACCCAGAGCACTCCCCCTCCAACCAGGTTGCCCCTCTGCTGCCCTCTCTACTCCCCAAACAATGCATTTCCCAGCCTAAGTTGAGAACTAAATCTGAAGCTAAAGCCCAAATCAACAGTATTTTGTAGCTGGGCACAGTGGCACCCGCCTGTAATCGCAGGAGACTCAGGCTGAGGATTACAAGTTTGAGGCCAGCCTCAGCAACTTAGCAAAGCCCTGTCTCATAGTTAAAAAAAAAAAGGGGGGGGGGGGCTGGGGTTGAGCTCAGTGGTAAAGCATTCCTGGGTTCAATCCCCAGGACTCCCCCAAAAAAGTATTTTATAAATAGCATATCTGATAAGGGATCAATATTCAGATTATAAAGAATTCATACAACTCAACAACAAAAAATAACCTTGTTCAAAAATGGGCAAGAGATTCAAACAGACTTTGCTCCAATGATGTGCTTTTGCCAATAAGCATAGGAAAGCTGCTCAACACCACTAGTCATTCAGGAAATGCAAATCAAAACCTCAGTGTAAACTGGACATGGCTACATTCGCATGTGGTATCCCCTGCTGGGGAAGCCAGTGCAGGATAACTTGAGCCCAGGAGTTTGAGGCTGACAGACAACCAAGACACCCCATCTCAAAAGTAAAACAAAAGAAAGTCTCTGATGAGATGCCATTTCATGCTCATTAGGATGCCATAACCGAAACAAACAAGGAGAAAATAATAAATGCTGGTGAGGATTAGAGAAACGGGAATCCTTGCCCTTCATTGGTAGAATGTAATATGGTGTAGCTGCTATAGAAAACAGTTTGGCAGATTCTCAAAAAAGTTGAACATAGAGCTGTGTGCTTCCACTTATTCGAGGTCCCTCACATAGGCAGATTCAATGTTGTGGCCCAGTGGTAGAGCGCTTGCCTCACATGCCTCACATGTGTGAGTTACTGGGTTCAATTCTCAGCACTGCATATAAATAAATGAATAAGATAAAGGTTCATCAACAACTAAAAAAAACTAAAATAAAAAAAAAAGTAGAACATAGATTTACTGTATGACCCAGCAGTTCTGCCTCTAGTTATGTGTACCTTAAGGAACTGAAAGCAGGGACTCTGATATCTATACACCCATGTTCACAGTGGCATTACGAACAGTAACCAAAAGGTGGTAGCAACTCAAGCACCCATCAGTTTACCCATCAGTGGATGAATGGGTAAACAAAATGTGGTTTGTCCATAGAAGGAGATATTATCTAGCCCTAAGAAGGAAGGTTATTCTGACAAAGGTTACAACACAAATCTTATTTATTTATTTATTTTCCTTTCCCACTGCTTGGGATTGAACCCAGGGACACACTACCCCAGCTATATCCCCAGCCTTTTTTTTTTTTTGGTACTGGGGATTGAACTCAGGGGCACTCAACCACTGACCACATCCACAACCCTATTTTGTATTTTATTTTTAAAGATGGGGTCTCACTGAGTTGCTTAGCACCTCGCTTTTGCTAAAGCTGGCTTTGAACTTGCGATCTTCCTGCCTCAGCCTCCTGAGTCATTAGGATTACAGGCGTGCACCACTGTGCTCAGCTCCCCAGCCTTTTTTATTTTTTCTTTGGAGACAGAGTCTCACTAAGTTGTCCAGGTTGGCCTCAAATTAGTAATCCTCCTGTCACAGCCTCCTGAGCTACTGGGATTACAAGGGTATACTATCATGCCTGGCTTATGTGATAAACATGAAAGACATTATGTGAAGTGAGGTAGGACAGTCACAAAGGACACATGTTGTGTGCTTCCACTTATTCCAGGTCCCTCACATAGGCAGTTTCATAGAGACAGTAGAACAGAAGCTACCAGCAGCTCAGGCAGAGGGAGGTATTGTGTAATGGGTACAGAATTTCAGTTTGGAAAGATGAATAAGTTCTAGAAATTATAGTGGTATTATATTTAATGCCATTTAAAAATGGTTAAAAGGGGCTGGGGTTGTGGCTCAGCGGTAGACCGCTCACCTAGCACATGTGAGCCCTGGGTTTGATCCTCAGCATCACATAAAAATAAATAAGTAAAATAAAGGTATTGTGTTCAACTACAACTAAAAAATAAATATTAAAAAATAAAACAGGAAAAAGTATTATATAAATTTTCACACCGAAAAAATGGTATCCACCTATTTTGTCTTACATCTTTTTTTTTTTTTAATTTTTTGGTGGAGATGGACACAACACAATGCATTTTATTTTTTTATGTGGTGCTGAGGATTGAACCCGGGTCCCACCCGTGCTAAGTGAGCGCTCTACTGCTGAGCCACAATCCCAGCCCTGTCTTACATCTTAAATATGAGATGGACTGATGGATGGGCAAAGGAATGGTTAGGCAAACTGAGCTAGCATTATAAAGCAAATGTGGCCCAGACATTCATTGTAGAATTTAGGGTGTTCCCTGAACAATTCTTCCAACTTTTTTGGATGTCTGAAAATTTTTCAAATGTTGGAAAATAAAAACTGCATCTGTGCAGGTCTGGAAGTGCAGCTCTGTGGTAGAGAGCTTGCCTAGTATGTGTGAGGCCCTGGGGTTGATCACTAGCACCACAAAAGACAAAACAACAATAAAACCCTGTGCATCCCTGCCAGGCACAGTCTGACAAGTTAGGGAGACCCTCTTAAACTTAAAAAATATAAGGGGGGAGCTGGGAATGTAGCTCAATGGTGAAGAGCCCCTGGGTTCAAACCCCAGTACCAATCCGGGTTCGATCCCCAAAGGATGTGGGCAGCTGCTCCTGTCTCTAAAACCAGGACTAGCAGATCTGTGCTTCCTGCTGAGAACACAGTACCACCAGAGGAGGAATCTTGCCCCCCCCCACCAAAAAAAAAAAAAAAAAAAAAGAAAGCAAACAGTTTGTTGTCAAGTTCAGTGAAAAGAGAAATGTGTTAAACTTAACCACAGAGATGACATCATACTAGTAAAATCTATTGGACAACAAACCTGGTTTCAACAACAAATATGTTGCAAGGGGTGAGAAAATAGAGAAAGCAGAACCCAGAGATTCAGAGAGACTTTCAGGAAACTGCCCTCAACTAAATGCAACTTGGATCTTATTTGGCTGTTAAAACAGCCAAATAAGATCCAAGTTGTAGATGGACGCCATATCTTTATTTTTTTAGTTGTAGATGGACACAATATCTTTATTTATATTTATTTAATTTTATGTGGTGCTCAGTATTGAACCCAGGGCCTCATGCGTGCCAGGTAAGTGCTCTATCACTGAGCTACCACCCCATCCTTCATTTGGATTTTGATTTGAACAAATTATAAACAGACAAAACACAAATATTTAAGAATCAGTTGGGGAAATCTAAACCTTCATATGCTATACAATGATACTAGGAATTATCTTTAAGCTTTTTCTCTGTGTCAGTGACACTGAGATTACTATTTGCAGTTATCTTTTTGAGATACATTTTTGAAGTTTTTACAGATGGAATGATATAATGTGCAGGATTTGTTTCAGAATTACTTAGTGTTAGCCGGGCACAGGGGTGCACACCTGTAGTCCCAATGGCTCAGGAGGCTGTGGCAGGAGGATCGAAAGTTCCAGTCAAAGGGCTGGATTTGTGGCTCAGTGGTGGAGTACTTGCCTGGGTTTGATTTTCCCGAATATAAATAAATGAATAAAAAAAATACTTAAAAAGAAAATTCCAGGCCAGCCTCAGCAATTTAGTGAGGACCTGTCTCAAAAATAAAAAGAACTGGGGATGTAGCTCAGTGGTAAAGTGCCCCTGGGTTCAATCCCAGTACCAGCCTCTCCCAGATACTGGGGGTGGGGATGGGGTAGATTTAACACGAGACTGGGGGTGTAGCTCAGTTGTAGAGCACATACTTAGGCATGCGTGGGGCTCTGGGTTCCATCCTCAGCACCAAAACTAAATAAATAAACAAGATTGAGCCCACAGTCTCTGCTCCTTTGTAGGCTGAGGCAGGAGGATTTCTTG